CTGTCCCCAGCTGCGTGGTGGACGCCCTTGCCACGTGGCCGCTCTGCACGCCGCTGCCTCCGTTGCTGCCCGTCCGAGTCTCCTGCGTGTTGGTGGGGCTGCCACTCGGCTCGCATTTTCTGCTTTCTCACTCTTTCTCTCAAGTCTCTTCTGCTCCCAGACTCCCTTAAGGGTGCCTGGTGGCTGCCGCCTTGGGTGGTCTGTTTGCAAGATACACCCCAAATCCGGGCCCCCCGTCCACATTTGGCGTGTCTCTGTCTTCTGTCCGTTCTTGCCTGGAAGCCCCAGGTTGGCTTCTGGGCTCATGTTGGGGACAGGTCCTCCCCTCCCCACACTCGGCTTCCACACGGGCACCCTTGAGCCTGAAACTGGTCGGGCATCTTCCTGAAGTTCGCAGGAAGGGGGAGGGAGGGCGCCCTCCGCAGCGTAGCCCTGTGGCCCCGTTCCTCTGTGAATTACCACGTGTGTGTGGGACCCGCCTTACGTGGGGCTGGCTCTGCCACCCGGGAAACCCCAGGTTGGGGGTCCTCCTACTGTTAGAGGGGTGGGGCGTGGCCTCTACTCACTTCCTCTTCCGTCTCCAGTCCACTTGCGCTCGGGTCGCACAGGGGCCCCTGCTTTCCTGCCCCCACGCTCGGGCGGATGTGCCCGGGGTCCTGGGCCTGCCTGGCACCTGCCTCTTCTCGTGCTGTCGGCGATGTTCTCTAACGTTTTTTTTATTTGTTTGTTTGTTTGTTTTTTAGATTTTATTTATTTGACAGAGATCACAAGTAGGCAGAGAGAGGGGGGGGAAGCAGGCTCCCCGCTGAGCAGAGAACCCGATGCGGGGCTCGGTCCCAGGACCGTGGGACCATGACCTGAGCCGAAGGCAGAGGCTTTAACCCACTGAGCCACCCAGGCGCCCCTCTAACCTGCTTCTGACCCTTTTCACTGTTCTGGTCGCAGCCAGGTCTGGAGAACTTACTAAACTCTGAAGCTGTGCCGGCCAGACAGGGAAGCGTTGTTGTGCGTGAGCAGAAGGCAAAGGATAAAGCAGAGGAGCGGGGATGTGGGCTGGGTGGGCTGAGTGAGCCGGGGTTCAGGGCACGGCCTGGTGTGCCCCCGCAGGTTTTGAAATGGTACAGGAATGTCAGCGTCGACACCCGGGGCGCCTGGGAGCCTCTGCCAGATGAGCGTCTGACTCTGGTTTTGGCTCAGATCCTGATCTCGGGGTCGTGGGCTCGAGCCCCACATCGGGATCCACGCTCAGCACGGCGTCTGCTCCAGAGTCTCTCTCTCAGCCCCGCCCTTCCTCAAATAAGTCTTTAAAAAAAAATAGTTAATCCTGAAGTCCCAGGAGGAGAGCCCCGCGGAGGAAGGGCTGCCTCCATGTCCACCCTCGCAGAGATCGTGACCCTCCACCAGACCTTTCGTGACGCCCCCAGCGGGGCTCCCTGACGCACGCCCGCCGTTTGGGGGCGGCTGATGGTGAGCGGGAAGAGCCAGAGAGTGCTGGGCTGCGTGGGGTTCCGGGGCTGCCCGGTGAACCGCGAGGAGGAAGGAGTTCCGTGAGCAGCTGCGCAGTGGCCGCCCTCCCACGCCCTCCGACCGGGTGCCGACGGCATCTCGGCAGCTGCGGCAGTGGCTCCTTTTCAGTGGTTCGCTTCTGGCCCACGCTGTCCGGCACAGCCACCACGGGCCGCAGACGGTCACCTGAATTTACGTTATTGAAAGTCACACAGGAGCGGAAGGTCCTTCCCGCCGCCACGCACACTGGCCACGTCGATGACGAGCAGCTGCGCCAGGTGGGGACGGGCCGGCAGGCAGCGTGGCCCCGCGGAAGCCCTCGTGGAGACGGGCCCGTGGGGCAGGTCCAGCGAGGGAGGGAGGCCCGGATGTTGCCAAGGCTGTTTCTGGGGGGCCGGCCCTGCGTGGGCCATGCCAAGAAGACCCAGAGGACCCTGGGCTGGGAGGGGACGGGAAGGCGACAGCCCCCGAGGAGGGCGAGGAGTCTGCGGGTGTGGGGTCTGACGGGGCAGAGCTCGGGGTGCACGGGGGGTTCCACTCTGCGGTTGGGGCTGGTCAGGGATGAGCTGCGGGGTGAAGGGTGGTCGGTGCCACGGGGGCTGCTGGGGGGCGGAGCCACGGTTTGTGGCAGGCGGGTGGCAGGGAGCTTCCTCAAGTTCCTGGGTCTGGAGTGTGGGAGGAAACCCCACTTGGTGGGGGACGCTGCTGCAGGTCGACGCGGGGAAGGCGTGGGGGGAGGCAGGGAAGGGCGGCTCTGACCGGCGGCAGGGAGGAAGGAGGGCAGCCGCTCTGGGGGTCCAGCTGGGCATCTGGGGGAAGGTGCACTCCCAGAGCTGGGCTCATGACCACCTGGGCTTTGCCTGCCCCACAGTGTAAGCCCAGCCCTGGTCCCTGGTCCCTAGTTGGGGCTGCTGCTTACGGTGTTGCCAGCTTCAGGAATCTTCCTTCCTACTGGCGTTGGCCGAGCTGCTCCACAAGGGGCCAGCTGCTCGTCTGCCCTTGTTTAGGGAACAAGCGGGCGCGGTCGCATGGCAGTAACCCCCTAGGAAAGCGGGAGGCACAGGGATTGTCAGGGGGCTTTGGGGGGGCTGCCATGGTATCTGGGCTGCAGTTGCTGGCAGAGGACGGGCCACCAGTATCTGTGTGGGGGCCCCTCTGAGCCCCCTTGTCTCAGGGTAAGGCCTGCGGGGGAGGGGCCCGGGCCTCGTGGAGGGCGGGCAGCTCACCCTGCGGCCTGGGCCTGGTCCTCCATCGCCCTAGCTGCCAGGGGCAGGTGCACGGCTCCTTCCCCCCGCCCCCGCCAAGCCCTTGGGCCCTGCCGTGTGTGGGCCTTCGCAGAGTGCCCTCAGCCCTGGCCCGGCCCCGGCGGCTCCCACCCCAAACAGCCTCCACTGCCCCCAGAAACACGCCCTCTGGAGAAGAAAGGCGTGAAAAGATCGCATTCCGACGGCTGTGTTTGGTTCTATTAGTACGTTTTAATTAGAACACGAACAAGGGATGTTATGAATATTCATAATGGTTATTAAAACGTACGATTAACTGGTGGGGGGGTTAATAACGGTGAGTGGGGTGGTGGGGGAGGGGCCGTCCCTAGTTTTGACATCTCGAGGGGAGGGGGCCGGTGAGGGTTTCCCCAGAAAGGAAAGCCGGCAGCTTGGGGCTCCCAGGTGCCCTTCACACAGGGGTAGGCTGCGGGCACCCAGTTGGAGTTGCCCTCAGACGTGGTCTGTTGTGGTCTTGGCATGTGGCCTGCCTGCTCACCGTGGCAGGGTCCTGGCCCCTCCAGGGGCACATTGTGGGGGGCCGCTCCAGAAGGAGAGAGGTGGCAGGCAAGCAGGTGTAGAGGGAAAGGGAGGCTTTTGCTGGGGGTACATTGCTCAAGGTCACCCCTGCCTCAAGGGCTACTACTCCACTCCCTGGTGTGGATTCTGCAAACCTGGTGGCAAATGCCTGCTGGACTCTGGGACCACAGGAGCCCCCGCCGGGTGCACACGACCCTCCCACCCCCACTAAGCAGCCCCCTGCTGCAATCATGGTGGAAATTTTTTATTAGAAAATAAAATCTAAATGTGGTATATGCATATTCATTAGGTGCAGGGATTAATATGCATAATTATGCAAATCAGGCAGCCATTAAACACTAGTTTGGGGGGATAATGACTGACACAGAAGCATTGCGGCAGCATGAAGTTCGGAAGAAGTTTCTGATTAGGTTGAGCGGGATGGGGGTGGGCCGGCCCAAAGGTTCCCGCCGCCTTCCCCGAGTCTAGCTGTGTGGGGTCACGGCATGGTCGAGGGGCTGGGGACAGGTCCCTCTACCCCGGCCCCGGGCTGCCTTGGGGCCTGCAGAGTGCGGCGGTCCACCCTCCTGTTCCAGAGGAGAGAAACGGGACAGAGGGCTGGTGCTGGGGCCGGCGGGAGCCCAGGACCTGACCCACGTGTGTTTGTCAGGCCGCACTGTCTTGTCTTGCTGCCTCTTGTGGACAGGGTAGAGCCCGGCCTGGGAAGGCGCTGTGCCTCCTGGCTGGGGAGTCCTGGGTGGTGTCCCGGACTGCTGGGGGAGATAAGGGTCCCACCCTGCCCCACCCAGAGCTCCAGACCCGATCCTCTGCCCTGTGAGTTAACTCCTGCTGCGCCATGGGCCTCTCCTCGCTGGGGCCCCTTAACCCCAAAGGGGCTGCCAGCTTGGCCCTGGAAGGTAGTGGCAGCTGAGTTGTTACTTCAACAGAGGAGGGGCTCTGCGTCCTGCGTTGTCAGGGATGGGAAGGGAGAGACCCCCACTTCCCGAGACCCGAGATTTCATGGTGCCCTCGAGGGACTGAGCCTGGTACAGACGCCCCCAGTCCCTCATGGTCAGTGCTAGGCTGAGGGAGAAACGAGATGCTGCGGGGAGGAGGCTCTGAGAGGGCTCGGCCCAGGATGGGCATCATGGCTGGGGCATTGATGGATGGGTAGGAGTTTGCTGGCAGATGTAGCTAGTAGAATTGCTTTTTGAACTATAGGCCTGAAGGTGTACTGAGTGCCAGGGTGTCTGGGGTGCTTCCCACAAATGGAAGCTGTTTGTCTTGTTTTTCAAGATTTACTATTAGGGCACCTGGCTGTTTCTGTTGGTTGAACGTCTGCCTCCGGCTCAGGTCATGATCCCAGGGCCCCAGGATCGATTGCCACATCTAGAAGCCTGCATCACCCTCTGTGTCTCCCTCTGCATCTTTCTCTGTGTCTCCTAAACAAATAAGATCTTTAAGGGAGAAAAAAACTATTTTTAAGGAACGCCTATACCCAACGTAGAAATCGAACTTACAGCCCTGAGATGGAGAGCTCCGTGCTTCCCAGCGGAGCCCGCCGGGCGCCCCCTGGCAGTTTAGATAGGGGCAGAGGGAGGGCCAGGCTGGGTCAGAAAGGGCCCGGGCTTCTCCCTGAACTGCTGGGAGCCACAGCTGGCTTGGGAACAGGCTGGGGGTGAGGGTGCCCTGACTCTCTTCTGTTGCCTGCAGGGCTGGAGGACCGGCCCAGCTCGGGCTCCTGGGCCACTGGTGACCAGAACAACTCCTCCTTTGACCCCAGCCGGGTAAGGAACCTCTGTGAGGCCCGAGACCTGGGTTTCCCTTCTCCGGGGTGGGGAATACATGGGAAACTGAGGTTCGCCGGGGAGGCAGAGGCCAGCCTGGTCTCCTCGGCCCAGAGATGCAGGTGCCGGCCCTGACTTGGGCACTCACGGGCATGCCTGCCTTCTGGAGCCCGTGTCCCCAGCCCCCTCATGGCCTCTGCCTTCACAGACCTATGGGGATGGCACGCACTTCAGCGAGCCCCACGGCAGCCTGTCTTCATCCACATTCCTGGGTCCCGGGCTTGGAGGTGAGTGTCTGCGCGGCCCCGGCGCCCCCATGCTCCCCTGTGGTCCTCAGGGTGTGGGGTGTGAGCTCAGGGCCCCTGCGCTTTGGCGGGCTCTCCCAGAGCACAGGACGTGGGTGGCCGTCCGTGGCCTGCTGCCCGCAGGAGAGCGGGCTCGGGAGTCCTGGCAGCTCAGGGAGGCAGTCCGAGCCGGGCTGGGTGCTTCTGAGGGGGGCTGAGAAGGTCAGGATTCGGGCAGTCTGGGCTTGAGTCCCTCCCACCGGGACCCAGGTGAGGACTGTCCCTTCCGGAGCCTCAGTGTCCTGACTGCGAGACCGGGACCCTCATAGCATTTTCCGTGTGGCACGTGGTAAGGCCTTGCCTGGCTCCCGGGGCCCGCAGCCTCCCCAACCTGCAGATGGGCACGTGAGGCCTGGCATGAAGGGACCTGCCAGGGCACCGTGGCTTGTGGGGGCGCGTGAGTGCGTGGTTGTGAGGGTCCCTGGGACTGGGTGCACGGTGGGAGCTGGGCCGTGCATGGCGCCAGGGACAGCCTGTGTGGTGGGAACTTGTGCCCATTTCCCAGACCAGCAGGGTGAAGGCCCATCCCGTGTGTGGCCTGGGGTGGCCTATGCCCCTGCAGGGGGTCTGCTTCCTTCTGCCTGTTCCTTCCTCCCGCTTTTTCCTGATGTGCGCAGTTTCCCACAGCCGGGCTTAGTCAGCAGAGCCCAGAGCCCAGCTGGGTCCCAGGCCTGCCATGTGGCACCCAGGCCTGCCCAGCGAGCTGGTGGGGAGGTGGGCACGGTGCAGAGCTCCCCGGGCCGCGCTGTGGGCCCCAGCCTGCTCTGGCTCCCCGGGGGGTCCTGCTGCTGTGCGGGCCCAGCACACAGATTCCGGTCCCTGCTCTGTGCCCACCGGGCTCACGGGTGACACGGGGTTCCCTCACGGAACCTCCATTTCCTCTTTTTGTCAGCTCCATCCTGTGTCTCAGGATGCCCCTCTGTGGTTTCTGCTGTATATCGGGCCTGAACCTCAATACCCCATTCTTGCAAGGGGAGCTGAGAGTCTGGGAGGGGAAGCCACCTTCCTGGGTGGAGCCTGGACCTGTTGTGGGGCGGGCCAGCCTTGCTACCCATGCTGACCCTTGGAGGAAGGAAGCACCAAAACCTCCCCGCCCCCTCCGCCACCGCTGGTCACTCTCTGGACGGGGCAGCCCTCCTCTGGCCTCTAGGCCTTGGTGGTCCTTCCATGTGCCCCGCATTGCCTGCCCCGAGGGCTCATGGGAGGCAGGACTGGGGGCACCTTCTGTGGAGCTTTGTCCCCCCCCCCCGCCCATCCCCCAACAACACCCGCTCCAAGAGCTTAGCCAAAATTGTAACTTCTCGGTAAAGAAACTGAGAGACTTTCTTCCCTAGTTTGGCAGTAATTCTGGTCAGTTGGCCCAGCATCTGAATGCCTCTCTCTCACTGAGGCTGCTGACAGTCCCCCCTCCGGGGACACCAGCACCCGGCTGGACCCTGATTGAGCCAGGGACTCTGCTTCAGGGGAGGCCAGAGCCAGGTGCCCATCTACACTGGGGCTGCTGGGCAGGATCCGTCCCCACAGGCCCCTTCTCACCCAGAGCTGTCACGTGCTTGTTGAGCTAGCCGCTGGCTGGGTCTGAACCTCACAGGTGCACAGGACCCCCAGCCTGTCTCTGGAACCCAGCCCCCTGGGGACAGATGCCTCCCGACTGTGAGTGGAGGAAGGGGAGGGCAGTGTCTGTCGCTGCTGTCCCACCTCGCAGGACATATGGGGACCCTGGTGGTTTGCTGAGTCTCCTGAAGGTCCTCCTGGAGCAGTGTCTGTCCCAACTCCTGCTTGTGTCCCAGGCTGACGGGGAGACCAGCATCCCAGAGGAGTTCACTCGTATTGTACACTGATAGAGCGCCCACTGTATGCTGGCGTGGGCCTGGTGCCGGGGCAGCCTGTTGGGACACGCTGTCCCTGGGGTCAGCCCCCAGCAAGTCTTTCCTCCTCCAGGCAAGGGCAGCGAGAGGAGTACGTATACCACCTTCGGGAGAGACGCGGGTGTTGGCGGCTTGAGTCAGGTGAGGCCCGCGTTGGAGGCCAGGGCACCGGGTCTGCTGATCCTGCTGACCCCGGAGCGGGGGCTGTGGTCATTTATCTGCCCAACTGCCTTTCCCTTTGGGATTGTTGTCCAGTCCGAAGCAGGCTCCCTGGGCCAGGCCGTCCAGCTGGTTGTGAACAGGGCAGGTGGGTTGCTCGGGAGGCCATGGCCCCCGTGCCACCGCTCCTAGACCTGGGGCCCAGGCTGGGGGTCACCATGCACAGTGTGTGTGGGGGCGGCTGAGAGACATGTGCCCACTCCTGAGTGGCAGGCGGGGACATGGAGGCCAGCCTGGTAGCTCTGAGGCCCTGCCCCCTACTGCCCCTGCTGGTCCTAGGTGCCCCCCCACCCACCCTCCCAGGCAGCCCAACCCATGGGCGCCCAGCACAGGTGAAAGTCTCCCCATGCTGGTCCAGCTGGGAGGCTGTGGGGGCAAGTGGACAGCAGCCAGCCACCGTGGCCCCCTGCCTGCAACTCCTTGGTGCAGCTAGGCCTCGTGCCAGGGGGTGCCACCCATTTGCACACCGTGTCACATAGGAGCACGGCACTTGTGACGGCTGAGCGCCAGCCAGGCCCAGGGCACCCCGTCTGTGTCCACGGCACCTGTGCCCGTTCTGCAGACGGGAAGGCTGAGGCATGGGACTGCCCTTGGCTCGGACCCCAGTTGTTTCTGCCCTTGAGGAAAGGAGGCCTGTTTCAAACTAAGATATGCAAAGTTAAACTATTTACTTTTAAAAAAAAAAAAAAAAAGGCTGAGCATAGCGTGAGCCCAGCGGGTTTCTGGAGCGCCTGGACGCGGGCCTTGCACGCTGAGCCCCTTGAGTGGGGCTGTGGGCTTGTGGCAACAGTCTTGCTTCTCCGCCTTCATTCAGAAGAACCGTGTGGCTTGTGGTCGGTCGTGTCTCAGAAGAATGTCCGAGCGGGGCAGGCAGGGAGCTCCTGCCGAGGGTCCAAGCGGGGCCTGCACACTAGTGTGTGCGCTGGCAGGATGGCATGGGGGCGGGGCCGAGTGCTCCCCCCTCCCCCCACTGCCCTGACAACCGCCCTGTCTTGCCCCCCAGGCCGGCTTCCCACCCAGCGAGCTGGCCCTCAGCAGCCCCGGGCCGCTGTCCCCTTCAGGCCCCAAGGCCGGCGTCCAGTATTACTCCTACCCCAGCCACGCTCGGCGCAGAGCCGCGGAGAGCGGACTGGGTGAGTGGGGCGGGCGGGGTACAGGTGCGGGGGGACGGGCTCCCGCGGAAGTACCAGGTCGGGGTCCCGTGGCCCGGAACCTGCGTGACTTGTGCCCGGCTCAGCGGGGGCTGTTAGCTCTGGACGCGGTCTCGCCCGCTGGAGGCTCATGGCCTTCTCACGCTTGGGAACCCCCACCAGCACCTCCGGCTGCACTGGGGGGTCTTAAACGGCAGCGTTCTCCACAACACACAAACATGTAGAAACATGCTCAGTGGCCCTTGAGGAGGACTCTGGGTTCCAGAATGAGAGGCGAGGCCTTGCCCGGTCCCCCTCCGCTGGGCCACGCGTGTTGCTGTCCAAGCGGCCGCGGAAGCCCAGCAGGTGGAGACTTGGGGTCCCTGAGCCGAGCGAGGAGGGAAACTGCCAAGCACAGGACCCACACCGGGGAGGCGTGACTGTGGGAGCGCAGGGAGGGGCCCCCTGCAGACCCCCCACCCGAGCTCTGCCCTCAGACCTGTGCACATGGGTCTGCGACCTCATTCCGGTCGTGTCATTAGCGGGGGAGCTCGGGGGTCTCTTCTCCCCCACCCCTTCCCTCCGCGCCCCTGGCTGGGTGGGGCGGGTGCCCGGCAGGTCTAGTGGGCTCAACTCCTTGCTCCGCACAGACTCGCAGCCCAAGAAGGTCCGGAAGGTGCCGCCGGGTCTCCCATCCTCGGTGAGTTGAGTGGCCACAGAGCCAGGGTCCAGGCTCGGGGCCCTCTCTGCAGGGGGTGCGCAGCGTGGCCGTGGGGGGAGGCGCTAGGCTGTGTGTGACTTCTGCCGACGCTGTGGCTCTGATCCAGCCAGCAGCGAGGGCCCTGGGAAGTTCTTCCTTGGGTCTAGCTCAGATCCCTGTTACAAGAGGGCCCGATGTTCTCTGGGGCCGAGGCACCTTGGGAACGGTGTGATGGGCTCCTGGGAGCGGGAGTGGGTTGGAGGCGCCCTGGGGGTCTGGTTCATGGGGTCCCCACCCCAGCTGCCTGGCACCTGGTGCTGGGCCAGGAGGGGCTCACCACCCCGCACTCCAGCGATGGGAGTCACTGAGAGAAAAGGCTGTTTGCTGGTGTCCCCGGCCCGGCCGCCCTCTCTGCCTGGCTCCCGTGCCGCCCCCCGTGGGCTGACCCCAGTTCAGGGTCGGGGCGGGCACCCTGCAGCCGGGAAGTGTGGGTCGGGCTCTTTGAAGGTCTTCTGCCTGGCGTCCTCAAGCCCCTGCTTCCCCTGTCTGAGCCCGCAGCCCAGGCCACTGGAGCACCAGAGCTGAGCCCCCCAACCTCCCCGCTCCTGCTCCTGGAACTCGTTTGCCACCTTGCGGGCCTGCTGATCCTCCAGGCCCGGCCTCTGCACCCCATGTCTCCTGGGGTTAGGGCTGCGGCCCTGGGGGGTTCAAAACGGGGCAACGGGGAAGAGGCAGGGCTGGGGGCATCAGAGCTGGGCTCGGACGGGTTGGGAGGAGTTGGCTGGTTGCAGGAGGGGGACGGCGTCCTTGGTCGGGGGTCCAGTCTGCAGAGGCCTCGGAGGCACAGGCTGGAACTTGGTGCAGGGGCGGGATGGGAGGCGGAGGGTAGAGAAGGAGCAGGAGAAAGGATCTCCCCGGAACCTCTAGTGCTGGCCAGGGGAAGGGTAGAGCACACAGAGTGAGGGGCTGGTAGCTGGAGGGCAAGGCTGGGGATGGGTCGCCATCACAGTTGGGCCCCTCCTGGCTGACCGCCCCTGCCCGTCTGCAGGTGTACCCGTCCAGCTCAGGGGAGGACTACGGGAGGGACAGCACCGCCTATGCACCTGCCAAGGCCCCCAGCAGCGCCTATCCCCCCCCCTTTTACATGGCAGGTGCGTGGGGGCTCACCTGAGACGGTTGGGGCTGCGGGTCCCCTGGCCTCCTCTCACCATGTGCGCCTCCACAGATGGCAGCCTGCACCCCGCGGCCGAGCTCTGGAGCCCCTCCGGCCAGGCGGGCTTTGGGCCGGTGCTGGCTGGGGCCTCGTCACCCCTGCCCCTCCCCCCAGGCAGTGGCGGCTCTGTCGGGGGCAGCGCGGGCTTCGGCAGCCTGCACCAGCACGAGCGCATGGTAGGTCTGCAGGACGGACAGGGGTGGGTGTGCGGGCAGCACCCTCAGCGGACCCCCGTGACCCCGTTCCCTCCACAGGGCTACCAGCTGCACGGGACGGAGGTGAACGGCGGGCTCCCGGCCGCGTCCGGCTTCTCCTCAGCCCCCGCGGCCGCCTATGGCGGCGTCTCCAGCCATACGCCCCCCGTCAGCGGGGCCGACAGTCTCCTGGGTACCGACCCCTTTACCCCTCTTCCGGATGGGGACCCTCCAAGCTTGAAGCCTGGCTGGGTGCGGGGGATGGGCCCTCATCACTCCCGTCCTTCCCCTCCTGGGCCTGCCCTGCATCAGGCCCTGTGGGCCACATCCAATGTCTGGAAATGGGCCTTTGAAGAATGGGTCCCCATTCTTCCGTCTGGGGGAGCAGATTCTCCAGGGGAAATGGCTCACTCGGGTCCTGCCCGCCCGCCCGCCTGTTCCTAGAGCCGCCGTGGTGGCAGGGGGCAGGACTCCAGGCCATTCCCAGCTGGAATGGGGCTGCCCCGTGCTGGGTGAGGACATCCACGCTAGGCAGCTGGGGCACCAGCATCCAAGCTGGGCCTGGGGCGGGGGTGGTACTGTCCCTGAGCTCGGCTTCCTCTCTCTTCACCCCCCAGGCTCCCGCGGGACTACTGCTGGCAGCTCTGGGGATGCCCTGGGGAAGGCATTGGCCTCGGTGAGGCGTGGGACATGGGGCGGCCAGGGGTGGCTGGGCTGGCAAGTGCCCGAGGCTGGCCCCTGACCCCATTTGGTGGCCCTGTCTCTCTTCTCATCCCTGTTGCAGATCTACTCCCCGGATCACTCAAGCAATAACTTCTCCTCCAGCCCCTCGACCCCCGTGGGCTCCCCCCAGGGCCTCGCAGGTCTGTGGGGGGGTTGCTGGGAAGCTATGGGGGCTGCATCAGGGTCCTGCAGCCCTGAGTGTGTGGAGAGCTGGGTGCACCCCCAGCCTCAGGGCTCTGGTTCCCGCGGGCATCTGGAAGGCTTTCTGGAGGGGGGTTCTTCAGTCCAGTCTACGTTGTACAGTCAGGGACAGGGCAGGGAGTCCAAGAGCCAGAGTAACAGGCCAGACTCCCTCCCGGACTCCTACTAAACGTGGACAGGTTGGCGTTTGTCCCCCCAGTGTCTGATAGGCACCAGTGGCGTGCCCTGGTTTTGGCTTTGCTAAGGGGGCCGGTCATCCTCTCCCCAAGAGGACCTTCCTGGGGGTCAGCTTGTGGTCAGCTTCCTGGAAGGCTGCGTGGTTTTATTAGAAAGCCCGCAGCGCCTCATTTCTGCAGTGGGAGTTCTCAGGGACCCTCGCCTTGCTGAGTGCACACAGGGCCCCTGGGGTGGACCACTGGTATGGCAGGCTGACCCCTGGGACACCTGCTATATGTGCCACTGGGCTGCCTTCCCCGTGGGGATTGAGTTCTGGAGACAGGAACCCGTCTGCTGGGTGGGTTCCCAGGAACGGCCTGGCTGGCCCGGCCTCGGCAGGGTTTCCATCGGCCCAGCGGGCATGGGGGCCACCATATGGCCTGCCTGGGCATTGCAGATCCTGCGGCCTCTGAGTCGGGCCACTTGGACACCCCGCCTACGGGGCCCCCACTGACATGCCGCCTACCCCTTCCAGGGACATCGCAGTGGCCCCGGCCAGGAGCCCCTGGTGCCTTATCGCCTAGCTACGATGGGGGTCTCCACAGCCTGGTGAGCTTCCCGGGCTGGATGGGCACTGTCCCTCATGGGCGCGTGTGGCCAGGGGAAGGCATGGTACATGTGGACCTTGGGCCGGGGGAGGTGGCCCATGAGGGCAGCTCAGCATGTCTGCTGTGGCCAGCGTACAGGGCTTGGAAGCCGTGTCCCCAGAGAGCCGCTCGGGCTCTGTGACTAGTGGGATTTGCAGGACGGGGGTCCCCTTGGCAGGTCACTTGTGGGGCACATGGCCTCGCTAGCCAACGAAGGCTCAGGTTGTGTGCCGGGCCCCAAGGCCATGCAGCATCCCAGGGGCCTGCACTCTTGACCCCTGCCCCTTCCCTGTCCGCAGCAGAACAAGATGGAGGACCGCCTGGACGAGGCCATCCACGTGCTGCGTAGCCACGCGGTGGGCGCCTCGGCGGATGTCCACGGGCTGCTGCCCGGCCATGGGGCTCTGGCCTCGGGCTTTACCGGCCCCGTCATGCCACTGGGGGGCCGACACACAGGCCTGGTGAGTACTGTTCGGGGGCGGGCGGGGCGGGGGATCAGGGTGGGCAGGCCCTGACCGCCGAGCCCACTCCTCTGTCCGCAGGTGGGAGGCGGCCCCTCGGAAGACAGCCTTGCGGGCAGTAGCAGCCTCCTGCACAACCACGTGGCCCTCCCCGGCCAGCCCGGCGCCCTCCCCGAGCTCGCTCGGCCACCGGACTCCTACAGCGGTGAGCCTCAGTGTGGGGGCCTGGGAAGGGGTGGCTGGCTCAGGGAACTGGGCTAGGCTGGGGGACTGCTCTCTGCCAGGCACTGGGCTGGGGCCCCTCACCGCATGCAGCGTCCCCTCCACCCGGCACCAGGAAGTTCCTTCCTGGAGGGGGTGGAGCCCGGGCACTTCACGTGGTTGGCGTCAGCCCTGTGCTTGGGGCCTGTGTGGGCCCTGGGCAGTAAACCAGGAATTAAACCAGAAACCCCATCCCTGGGGGGTGAGCAACAGTGGACTAAAGGCAGAAGGGAGGATGCTAGGGGAAAATGGGGAAAGGGCATAGAGAAACTTGTACTTTTAAAGATGGCAGGCAAGATTGTGACATTTGGGCAGAGCAGTGGAGGAGAAGCAGACCAGCGCTTGGGAGATGCGTGTGCAAAGGCCCCTGGGCAAGACCATGCCTGGTGTGTTGAAGTAGTGAGGAGCCATGTGTTAGATAAGAGGGAGGTGGTGAGGTCAGGGAGGTGACAGGGCAAGTCGTGCAGGGTCCTGTGGACATGGGAGGACTTGGGCTTTGACCCCAAGGGACCTGGAAGCCTTGGAGGGTTCCGGGCAGGGTCTGGAGCTGCCAGACTCAGTGCCCACAGCCGCCCTCTGGTGGCAGCTGAGGATGATGGGTGACCGCTGAAGCCGTGGGGGGCGGGGGGAGTGGACTGTGCTGGTCCAGGAAGTGGGGTGGGGGTGCGTTCTGGGTTCTCAAGCCAGAGAGGCCACAGGATTGCAGCTGTGGAGGCCGCGGTGGGATGCAGGTCTGGAGTTCAGGGAGCGTGCTGACCACTGGGCACCGGGTGGAGCCCAGAGCCAGGACCGCAGGCAGGGTCTCCAGGCAGAGGGAGCGGAGCAGAGCCCCAGCCTGAGCACGGTGCCGGCTGAGGTGGAGGTGGGAGGTGGGGGGGGGGCAGACGCGTCAGGTGCCAGAGTTGAGGACCCACGCTGCAGCAACATGGGGTCAGGGTCGTGGCCACCGGCCGTGGGCTGTGGACTTTCTGGAGAAAAACCGAGGAGGTGACAGCACTTCACACAAGGCTGCAGGGAGGAGGTGGTGATGGGCCAGTGAGGGTCTCGTGGCGGCCAGCCCCAGGCACGGGGACGTGGATTCTGCCACCGTGCTGGCAACCATGGCCTGAGAGGGTGCTGGGACTGGGCCGGGCCGGGCGCCCACACCGCCTGGTGTCCCGAGCCCCCGGAACACCGTGCCACGCCTCCCACATTAGGGCAGGTTCTCTTATCTGGCCCAGGGGCCTTGGCCGTCCTCCGCACGCCCCCTCAAAACCAGCCTGAGTGTGACAGCTGGCCTTGCTGTGTATTTCTTGATTTTTTTTATCACTTTTATCACATAAGGCATTTTTCTGGGGCACTTAGAGTCGCCACGATTCGGGTGGGGGGACGACTGGGGTGCAGCTTGACCCCTCACAGTGCTTGGAACGCCCTGATGTTTGTGCTGTGGGGCCGGCATTCCCTGAGTTGAATCCCTTGTCCCAGCTTCTCCCCTTCCCCTTGCCTGCTCTTCTCTCCCCTGCTCTCCTCTTTGCTACCCTGCCCTCCTCTCCCCTGCCCTGCCCTCCTCTCCCCTTCCCTCCTTTTCCCTCCACTACCCTTCTCTGCCCTCTGCTCCTATCCCATCTCCTCCTTTCCCCCCTGCTACCCTTCCCTGTCCTGCCTTCCCCTCATCTCCCCTGCCCTCCCCTGTCCTGCCCTCCCCTCTTCCCCTCCACTACCCTGCTCTGTCCTGCCCTCCCCTCGTCACCCCTGCCCTCCCAGTTCATCTGTTGCCAAGCCCAGGCCCCATTCCCGGTGTGTCTTTTGCTATCACAGTGTCGAGTTTCCTGCTGTGTGCCTTCAAACCCTGTGTTCCGTTACATGGCCTTGGGCTTTTCTGAAACTGGCATTGGCTGGCGTGGTCACGTTGGCAGCAAGGGCCACCTTTCTGCTGGGGGCTCAGGATGGGCCCTGATGTGGGACATTAGGTTGTTTCAACTTTCTACTCTTGGGGTAGGTGCTTTCTGGAACGTTCTGGAATGTGTCTCCAGAATGTGCACAGGAGCTTCTCGGGTGTGATTCCAGGTTGTGGGGTTTGGGGGTCTGTGGATCTACCCTCTCCCGATGACACCAGACTGTCCCGACCTCCCTCCCATGGGCAGTACCCCTGATGCTGGGCCCCGTCCCTTTGCCGGCTTCCCTACTTGCCGGATCCCGGTTTGCGTTTCCGCGGATTGTGGGTGCCGTGAAGTAGATGGCCGCTTCCTCGTCTACGAATCACCCATCTGGGAGCTTTCTCTGTTTTCCTCTTGAGCTCCTAGTCCTTTTCGCGTTCATTTGTGGGAATTCTTTTCATCTTCATTGGTTTATACAGGACCCGTGATGTCTTTTCTTTTTTAAAGATTTTATTTGAGAGAGTGAGCATGAGAAGGGGGAGGGTCAGAGGGAGAGGCAGACTCTGCGCCCAGCAGGGAGTCCCATGTGGGACTCGATCCCCGGACTCCGGATTGGTGACCTGAGCCGAAGGCAGTTGCTTTAGCAGCTGAGCCCCCCAGGAGCTCGGAACCCATCTTTTCTATCCTGCGGCGTATCTTCTTCTCTTCTTGGTGGGATCCTGGTAACCAGAAATTCTCAATTAGGCTATATAGTCCAGTTTATCAGTGGTTTTTTTTTTTTGTTTTTTTTTTGTTTTTTGTTTTTTTGTTTTTTCCAAGAACAGCTCATTTAGTATTGTAGGAGGTAGTCCTCCTCTCTGAACCACAGCGGGATTTCCACGCACTTTATTCTGAAGGTTTTCAGATCTTTCTCTGTTGGAACTGGTGATTGTGTGGTGTGAGATAGGGACCTCTGATTCTAGGTGTGTTTGCTGCTTTATTGTTGGTTTTTGTTTTTTTTTTTAAGATTTTTATTTATTTGACAGCACAAGCAGGGGAAGAGGCAGAGAGAGAGAGAAGCAGGCTCCCCGCTGTGCAAGGAGCCCCAGGCAGGGCTCTATCCCAGGACCCGGGATCATGACCTGAACTGAAGGCAGAGGCTTAACCCACTGAGCCACCCAGGCGCCCTGGGGCTTTTTTTCTTTTTCTTTTTTTGCATACGAAGTCCTGGCTTTCCCCAGAGACCTCACTCTGCTTCCCAGGAGGGCAGCGGGCATGTGTCGGGCGGCCCGGGTTGTGCGCAGAGGCTAAGCCCAGGCCCGTTGCAGGACTCGCGCGCGCCGGGGCGGTCTCGGGCGCCGGTGAGATCAAACGGGAGGAGAAGGAGGACGAGGAGAACACATCGGCGGCCGACAACTCTGAGGAGGAGAAGAAGGAGCTGAAGCCCCCGCGGCCTCGGACCAGGTGCCCGCCTCCCCGCAGCCCCCCGCAGCCCCGCCCGTCAGGACGCACGCACACGCACGCAGACATGCACACTCCCCCCCAGCCCCGCCCGTAGGACGCACGCAGACACGGCCGCAGCCGCCCCGACCCCCCGTCAGGACGCACAGACACGCACACGCCACCCCCCCCACAGCCCCGCCCATAGGACACACAGCCCCCCACCCCGCCCGCCCCCCCACGCGCGCCCCCCCCCCCCCCCCCCCCCCCCCCCCAGCCTCCGGCTGCCCCGCCCATCAGGACGCACGCACGCAGACACGCACACGGCGCCCACTGCGCGAGGCTGTCGGCGGGTCCCCCGCCTGTCCCCCCGCCTCACTGTCTCCCTCTGGCCCCCCGGGCCCGCCCCATAGCCCGGACGAGGACGAGGACGACCTTCTCCCCCCAGAGCAGAAGGCTGAGCGGGAGAAGGAGCGCCGGGTGGCCAATAACGCGCGCGAGCGGCTGCGGGTCCGAGACATCAATGAGGCTTTTAAGGAGCTGGGGCGCATGTGTCAGCTGCACCTCAACAGTGAGAAGCCCCAGACCAAACTGCTCATCCTGCACCAGGCCGTGTCGGTCATCCTGAACCTGGAGCAGCAGGTGCGAGGTCAGTGGGGGCGCCGCTCCCCTCCCCTGCCACTGCTTGCCGTGCTCTCCCCCCACTTCCTGGAGTCAGTCTCCCCTGCTGCGACTGTCCCCCCTCCCTGCTGTGACTTCCCCCTGCAGTGACCGCCTTGCCCGCTGTGACTATTCCTCTCCCTGCAGTGACTGTCCTGCCCTGCTGTGAGCTCCTCCACCGCGGTCGCTGTTCCCTCTCTGACCACAGGGCCGCCTAACCTGGCCCCAGTGTCCCCTCTGGAAATGGGAGGAGGATACTCTTGGGAGCCGTGGCTCTACAGAACTGGGCACTTTGGCTCTGAATTCCATCCCTGGACCCCAGGGATCCCTGCCCACCCCAGCCCTCCTTTCTTAGGGAGGCTGTAGCCTTCTGGCTGAGGCCCCTGTGGCCAGGGCCAGAGGTCACTGTCGCTGCGGACAGACACATCCTTGCGGGGCGCCTCAGCCCATCAGCCCCCATCTCCTGGTGAGGAGCCAGAAAGGCCCCCATGTGACTTGGCTCCCCAGTTCAGCTGCTTCCTTAACGCCTCCCACCCACCCACGCCTCCACGCCCGTTAACCCTTTCTCTCCTGCAGTGCTGTCGCTTGGACCGGAGCTGGGGCCCTCGCCCCACCTCTCCACCCCCCACCCCAGCCTGCTGTCCCCTCTGCTCTGAGGGTTCCGTGTTTCCGTGGTGGTGTGGACACCGCGCCATGTCCCCTGCGCCCACCTCTCTGCTCTCTGCCTCTCGAGCTCCCCTCATCCCAGCCCACCCACCCCTCTGCTTCCATGGCAGCCCCTCCTACCTCGCACTTGCTGCCCAAGCCCCGGATGGCAGGGCTGCGACCTTGGGGTCTTTCCTCCCCCACAAAGTCTCCCAGTTGGGACTTGAGGGAAGAAAGGGGACCAAGGGGTGCACCAGCCTCAGGCCTGTCAGTTTGGTCTGCGCGCTTGTCCTGGGGTCGGGGGTCACCGCCACCTGGCAGGATCTGCTCAGGCCCAGGGCCGGGTGGGTGGGCGGGCAGACAGGGGCGTAGCCTCCTCCCCCTACTGTGGGAGCCGGACAGGGCCCCTAGGCGCTGCTCATGTGCAGGTGTCTGGGCTCCTCTTCTGCCAGTGGGGCGCACACCAGGGCCAGGCCTTCACCCACTCCGCTTCCCGTCCCTGAGGCCAGGCGAGGCAGGCGTCCTGCTGAGGACGCGTCCCGCTGAGGACGCGAGTGAAGTCGCTGGGCAGAGCCATGTGGCTGATGCTTCGCAGGACTTGAACCAGGGTTCAGCCTTCGTGGCCGGCGTCTGAGCCGTTCAGCCGTCCTGTGTGTGATGGGGGCCGGTGCAGAGTCGGCGCTCGGTCACCGCAGCGCTGGGACACACAGGGCATTCATGGTAGTGATGAAAGGCCTGGGGAGCCCATGCTCCCAACCCAGAGTGGGGGGCCGTTCCACATCCAGCTCTTGGGGTGGCTGGGCGGGGTGCTTTGCCCGCTGGGCCAGTCTCTTTGGCCTGTCCTGCCCACACTGGTCTACCTGGCCTAGCCCTCGCACTGCCCAGCCAGCAAGTGCGCTGAGCCGGGAAGGTGGTACCAGGAGGGGCAGGGGGCGTAGGGTGCCCCCAGCTCCCCACAGATGGCCTGATGGGGACTCAGGGCCCACCCTCCATCCCCTGGGAACGCTCCTGCGTTGGTTTCCTTGGGGCGTCAGCACACACACAGCCTCTTCTGCGGCCGGGTCCCAGGTGCGCACACAGTCAGTCTCGGAGCTCCGAGCCCGGGGGAGCACACGGTCACGGACATGCACACGCACGCACACGCACGCACACTGTCCGCGGGCACCCGCCCGCCCGGCCCGGCCCGGCTCCTCGCTAACGGAGGCCCTGGTGCTGTGACCCAGCAGTACGGAGGAGGTGCTGTCCCTGGAGGAGAAAGACCTGAGGGACCGGGAGAGGCGCATGGCCAATAACGCGCGGGAGCGGGTGCGCGTGCGGGACATTAACGAGGCCTTCCGGGAGCTGGGCCGCATGTGCCAGCTGCACCTCAAGTCGGACAAGGCGCAGACCAAGCTGCTCATCCTGCAGCAGGCCGTGCAGGTCATCCTGGGCCTGGAGCAGCAGGTGCGAGGTAGGCTCCCGGGCCGCCGGCCCCGCCCCCGGCCCGCCGGCCCCGCCCCCCGGCCCGCCGGCCCCGCCCCGTGGGCTCCTCGCGCGCAGGCAGTGGGGCGCTCGGACCCCCGACCGGCGCTCTGCTCTCCAGGGCCCCGCGCCCACCGGCTCCCAGAGGGACCCTGTCCCACATGGCTCTCCCCTCCCCCCAGAGCGTAACCTGAACCCTAAAGCGGCTTGCTTGAAGCGACGAGAAGAGGAGAAGGTGTCGGGCGTGGTCGGAGACCCCCAGATGGTGCTTTCCGCCGCTCACCCGGGCCTGGGCGAGGCCCACAACCCCGCGGGGCACCTGTGAGGAGGGGGCGCGGCCCGGGGCCAGCGACCCAGCCCGGTCCCTGCCGGCAGCACGGCCCCCACCCTGGGCCTCACCGTCCCGACGCCCGATTCCTGGGGGCGGCCCCGATGGATCCTGAAACCGCGGCCTGGGCCCGAAGGGGCAGTTTTGTTTTGTTTTGTTTGTAAACAAAACCGGGAAGCAAGCGAGATGAACACTTTGTCCGAAAAGAGGAAAAAATGCCTTAAGTAGAAAACGCGGGAGAGTCTGAACCTCCCCTTGCGGGAGGGAGAAGCGGGACGGGCTCGCTCTCCTGCAGCCGTGAATCGTGCCTACGCCTGACCTGTGTCTTAAGGAAAATAAAGAACGTTAGTTAGATTTTTTTTAATGTCTTAGGAAATTAGCAGGGAGGATGCCTTTGGTCTCTCTCTCTTTTTTTTTTTTTTTTTTAAGCTTTTTTGCATATGTTTTGTAAGCAACAATTTTGTATAAAAGTTTCGTGTCTCTTGCTGCTTCTGCTGCTGTTTCTAGACCTGAGCGTGGCATTTCACAGTCAACCAGGTCATTAAAAGTCATATTGAAAAGACCCACCGTGAACCTGAGAGCCCGAGCCCCAGAGCCGCTGGCGCAGGAGGGATAGCGGACCCTTCTGCTCGCGGCTGGTTCAGGGGATGGGTGGTTACCTCGCTTCTTGTAGGAGGGACACTGTGGGCCCCCTTTGCCCTGGTGGAGGTTCTGCTTGGGGAGCCCTTGCTGCGTCCTCGCTTCTCCCTCGGGAAGGGGATGGGGGGTGTCTGCAGGGCGGCAGCTCTGCTCCCCAGCCCTTCCCCCTCAGCCTGCGGACCCGCACAGTCTGCAGACCTCCCCAGATGGGATTTTTTCAGACCACTGCTTCTGGGCACAGGGACCATACGACAGGAGCTTGATGGAGGGGGGTGTCCCCAGGCACCGCATCCTTCGTTCCTTTGACTTGGGGCCCTGGCCTGTTCTCTCATCTCTGGCAGAAGACTCTGGGCCAGCACACCAACCCCCACCCCAAGTGACTGACCCCAAACTCTGAAAAGCTCCAGGCTTTGGCCCTGATAACCTGCAAAACCAGAAGGGTGTGGGCCATATCCAGGCCCGGCTCCCAGGCCTCCCCACGTACCCTGCCTGCAGGGGGAACCGGCTCCACGCAGGGCTCCCCCGGGCCTAAACCAAAGGTCCCTGCAGTTGCTGGGACACCCGACAGCTGCCCCTCTGTGCATCCCCCAGGTGCAGGGTCAGGCCTGCAGGTCTCCAGGCTCCTTCCTGTAACCACCTGGCTCCCGCCACCGCAAGTGCATGCCCGTGCGCACGCGCACACATACGCACACGGCTTCTGGACCCCAGGTGGCCACGTTCACTTCCCCCCCCAACCCTCCCCTGCCACACTCCCAGAACAGTGGGGCTGTCCGTTGCCCTCACACCCTGTGACTGGCACTCCCTGAGGCCAGGAGCTGGACACCCCAAGGCAAGCACCAGGCAGGATCTGTGGGCCACCTCCCAAGCCCTGAAGTCACCTTGGTCCTCCCACTGATGCTGCCCACACCCCCCAAAGGGTTCTGGGGACGGCGAGGAGTCGTTGGCAAGGGGCCCTCCTTGGTGCCTCCCCTGGTCTGTGGGTCTGGTGGGTCCTGTCTCAGTGTCCCTCGGTCTACGTGGAGCCACTGCCCCCCCCCCAACTACTACTGGACTGTTCTGTACCCATAAATAGCCCTTGGGAATCGGAAGAGACACAAGGGAAAACCGTGCTGAGTGCCTTAAGATACCTGGTTTTCAAACAAAACTTTAAGAAAAATAATTTTATACAAGTGTCAACATGGCTGGCTGGATTCTTTGGGATGTGTTAAGGGCCCCTCTCTTGAGCAGCTCTGGAGACCTGTCCTGTGTAGCACAGAGCCGCAGCAATAAGTGTGACATCATATGGCCCCACAGCTGTCCCCTGGCTCTTCCAGCTGCTGTGTGGTTCCAGTGGGGGCGAAGGCAGGCGGAAGGGGGTGCCACGCCAGGTAGGGGGCATGGCATTCTGCCCCGCATGCAGATGCTGAGGCCTCTGCCCTGCATGTGATCCCCTGGGGGCAGCTGTCACAGAGCCCCACACAGGGATGGGGCCTGAAACCACCGGGACCGATTCTCCTGTTCGGGGCCAGGTCCCCCAGATCCTGGTGTGGCAGGGCCGCGCTCCCTCCTCGGGCTCCAGAGGAGGGTTCCTTCTGCCTCTCCCAGGTCCGGGGGCTCCAGGCATCCCTGCGGTTGCGGCCACATCACTTGGTGCCTGTCCCGGGTGCACAAGGCTACCTCCCCGTGCATCTGTCACAAGGACACACCAGTCATTGACTGCCTCACGGCCTCCCCTTTCCTGTACGACCTCAATTGAACTGACTGTACGTGCAAAGATCCTGTATCCAAATAAGGTCCCGTTCACAGGACCGGGGGGACAGGACGTGAGCGTGAGTCTTTGGGGGACAGGCACCACGAGGGTCTGACTGGGGCCATGGTGAGCAAGGCCAGCAAAGCCAGAGTGATGGAAGGGGCCCAAGGCAATTCCACATTCTAGAACCAAAGCACCTCGGGTCATGTGGGGAATCTGTACTTGTAATAAGAGGTTCTGGGATCTGGACACGGGACTGGCTCATGGGGAAAGCCACTCCCTGAGAGGCTGCCTGTTAGTTTTTATAATTAATGTGCCAAAGGCCACTGAATTATGCACATTAAGTCTATAAATGGGATGGTGTGTCAACACCATCAAGACAGTTTATGGGCCCCCGGGTGGCTCAGGCAGTTGAGCTGCTGTCCTCGGCTTAAGTCATGATCCCAGCGTCCTGCTCAGCAGGAAGCGTGCTTGTCCCTCTGCCCCTCCCCTGCTTGTGCCAATAAAATCTTTAAAGGTGTTTATGTTTTATTTTTTTTACGATTTTATTTTTACGTCTTCTCCACACCCAACATGGGGCTCGAACTCATAACCCTGAGATCAAGAGTCACATGTTCTTCCTACTGTGCCAGCTGGTGCCCCTCAAAAAAGCTGTTTAAAGATAGATCACAAAGGCGCTAAAATCCTTCAGTGAGGCATCCCCCCCTTCCTGTCCCAGCAAGGATCTGCTCTATGGAAATTTCTGGAAGGAACATCTTGGCCCGGCTCGGGGAGCCGCAGGAGCAAGGGATGGAGGAAAACTCGGTGCAAGGGACGTGCCCATGTCTTGACAGCAGCAATGGCATCTTGGGCATGTCTGAAGGGTGCAGGTCACTGTGTGCTTGTCCCAGACTTTCGGCCAGCCCCCGCCAGCCCTCTGAGCCCCCCCTGCTCTGGGGAAGACGACACAGCTTGGGCCTGACGTGAACCCCAGGCACCCTGCCATGCCGGCCAGCCCCTCGGACAGCACGCTGCGCTGCGGCTTCTGGACATGGACCCCTCATGCCTGACCCCGGAACTGGGGATGCTCGAGGAAAGGGCCTTTGCAGTGGAACTCCAGATCCTGAGATGAACTTGTCCTGGCTCAGGATGGGCCCCAAGTCAGTGACAAGCACCCTGATGAGAGAGAGAAGCCGCATGACATAGGTGGCAATCACGGAGGCAGAGGTGGGAGGGACAGCGGGTGTGCGGCCCTGTCACACGTGCATGGGGGGGCTTATGGCCTCCAAGGTGGGCAGAGCGTGAAACCCTGTGGTTTCCAGTTGCCCAGCGCACAGCTGTCACCATGACCATGGGGAACACGGAGCCTGTGTGTCCTTTCTAAAGTGGTGCAACGCCCCAATATGGTGGGAGCCCCATGTCTCACTGGCGGGGACATCAACAGGCGCAACTACTCCAGAACGGTTTGGCAGGCGGACACCGGGGCCTGGACACTGACCTGACCGTCCGCAGCCATTACATCTCAGTGTGAAAAAACAGAAAGCTTGGCGGTTCTGTCCACAGCTCAACACGGGGGCCCCGCTGCACGCCAGCCGGCCCCCCAGGATCCTCTCCAGGGCGATAAAGACACACACCCACTCAAAGACCTGGACAGAACCAGGCATGGGCCACAGCTGTGATGGCGAAGCCTGGAAACAGGCAGAGTGCCCTGCGCCAGGTGAGCCGTCTGCGCCCAGATTCGCCCTCTGCGGGCCTCCGCTGGGCAGCAGCAGAAAGGCGCCACACACCAAGTGGAACACACTGTATGCCCCCTGCTAGAAGAGTCAGGAAAGTGCAGATGAACCGGCAGGAGACAGATGAGTGCTCACAGGGGCCGGGAGGGGGCGGCAAGGGTCCAGACGGGCAGGAGGAAGGCCAGCAGGCGCCCGCAGTCCTGGTGGTGGGCGCACACACACGTCCAAACACCAAGTTGCACATGCTCAGTCCATGCGTTTTTGCATGTCCAGTATTCCTCGATAAGTTGTAAAGATTTAAAAAAAAAAAAAAAAGACTCCATCAACGGGTGAACGGATAAACACAACCCCCCCCACACACACACAGGGGAGCCTCCTTTGGCCACAAGCAGGAGCAGGGCCCCCACGTGCTGCTCCAGGGACGGACCCTGAGCCTACAAAGCTCAGGGAAGGAACCAGACACAAAAGGCCACAGGGGGTGTGAGTCCAAGTGTGTGACGCGTCCAGACCAGGCTCTTCCATGGACAGGAGAGGGGCTCGTGGGGGCCAGGGGCTGGGGAGAGGCTGAGGGAGGGGGAGGAGGAGGGAGACCTATGGGGCTTCTTTTGGAAGTGATGAAAATTTCCTGCAATTAGACAGGGTGGTGGTTGCAACAACTTTTGTGAATTTCACAGCATAAAAAAATTGTAGGAGCTGAGTTTCCCCTAAAGGATGGATAGGAGTATCATGGGAAATCCAAGGTCCTGCTTATCCACCACCGTTTTGGATATCAGGATCCTGACTACTTTTGGGGGATCCTCCCCTCCCCTAGTTTCAGTCCATGTCCTCTTATGAGCATAGCGACCTCTGCCCCATTTCCACAGCAGGCCCAGGAGAACAGCCTCGGGGCATTTTCCACAACAGCAAAGAGGTGCCACCTTCCTTCAAGGGCTGCTGGAATGTTGACCTAGAGTTTCCACATGCCACTGCTCAGAGAGAGCTCACAAGAGGGCAAGGA